ACGCAGATGATTCATCAAACATATTTTCTCCTAATAAAAGCCTTTAATAGCCCCAATCAACTCTTCCTTGCTCAATCCCTAATACTTCCTAGGAACTTCCTGTCGGAAATCCCCAAGGAGTTGCATGTTTAAGTGAACTCTCCAGAGAATCTTTCTCAAATTTCTATGGACTTGAATTTTTCAGGAGACTCATTGATAACTCCTTGAAGAGTCCCTGGTAATGCTTATCAATTCTCCAGGAGCTTCCCAGAAGTCAAAATGTCCTCTTAACTCCCTGGGAATTTGTTATGGGGAGAGTTGAGTAGGAAGGTGAAAATCTATATATACATAAAGAAGAATGTTTGTCTGTCTGTTCTTTATGCATTTCCACACCGTACAGGCCAACGCAACCAAAATCTCCAGGAATCATCCTCTCAGCCGGGGAAGGTCGTAGGATAGTTTTTCAGCTAAAATTTTCACCTAATGGGGATGTTTGTCCCTCCTATTGTTGGATTACTGCAGTAAGTGCCTTTTTCAGAGAGTCTGTGCGTGTGATTGTTTCCTCAATAATTGGAGAATGAAAGTATATAATACCTGCGCTTTTTGCCATTGAGCACCAGACTTTTGAGGATACTCGAAAAAAAACGAATAGAATGTATAAGATGCAGAGCAATCATATGAATGGAAATATCCATCGAATGAAGAAAGCAACAAGTGAGATGAAGTTTCATTACTCATGACTCAAAATGGATTGGAGCAGAGAACGTATAGTGAAAAAAGGATATAACCGAACGTATATCTATATACATATAGAAGAAAGTTTGTTTGTTTGTCTGTTCCTCACGCATTCGGTCCTTGTAAGGGCTAGCATCACCAAACTTTCTATGGCATTCCTCCAGGTCCAGAGGAAGGTCGAGATGGGGTTGGCACAACCGATGGATAGGGAGGGGGTTCGGTGAAGTTCCACCCAGTTCTTAATAAACCTTAACTTTCACTAATTTTTCATAAACTTCAGAGAATTCTCTACGATTTTTAGAGTGTCTACCTAGTACTATCTTTTGGCGCTAGGTGTAAGTGTAGTGCACGGAAGTAGGCGTGAGTAAAAGGAAAGACACTCACATACACTATTCGCTGAACTACCGCACTTTAGTATGGGCGTGAGTGTACGCACGACGGGACATGTTGTGGTGATAGATGCAGAATTTTGGAGCACACTCCTCTCTATATCTCCTATCGTTGCCTAACATATCAAGTTTTCAATATGGAAGTTTCCCAGGTAACGCCAGATACTAACGGTAGTATTTAATAAAACAGATTCACAACATTCAGAATAAATCTAATAAAGTTCTCAGTCAACTCACTTTTATGTTCATGTATTCTTTCGTCGCTCCGATCTATAAATAGACTGGCTTTTATTCAAATAAAGGACGTGATAATGTACACAATCGCTTACGTGATATAACATATATTGTGAATAAGTTTGGTTATGGTGCGTTTTCAGTTGTTCTTTAGATGAATTCAGTTAATAAAATATGATTTATACCGAGAAAATAGTAATTTACATTACAACAAACAGACTTTATCAATAACACTTTAGAACACTAAACATCTAGAGGAAGGATAAAGTCAGCTAAAGCCAAAGTTTTGTGAATACGAAGAAGGAAGAGTCATACGAAGACAACTTTCTCAGATGACCTTTTCTGAATGGTCTCTAACTTATTAATTGTAGTGAGAGAATAACATAGTTTTATTTAATACTTATACTACCAGCCAAGGTCATTTTAGACTCCATTCTTAGAAACTAAGGAAATAAAGTGAAAATATTTTTTTTACTTCTCAGATTAGAATATTGAATATCATCTTTAACAAATGATATCAATATTATCTTTTTCATCGATCTAGATACATGAATAATATTGTTTCATCTAGCATCTTTATTAGAAAATGAAAAGACATTGCTCTATCGATAATTCATACAAATTGTTTTGTCTAAAATAATCTTGGTAGTACGAGTGTTAAACATAAAACACAAATCTGATTTGTTATTGTTAAAGTGTAACTTAATCATTGATGTTATTCAGTAGAGTTTCTATTTTTAATACGAAATCTGATATGAATAATGCATGCATTGATAATAAATGACAAATATAATCTCTGTTGATAATGATTAAAAGAAAAAAAAATTTATTGCTGAACATATTCTTTTTATTTTATTTTATTTTTCTCTCGTAATAGATGTTCTTTTTTATAAAAATAAATAAAAGTCGAGAAAAAAAAACAAGTAATGATCAGAGAATATAATAGATGATTTATCTTGTTTCTTTGGTGAAATAATCTTTTCCAATAAAATCATCTTTAATTGCTAATCGTACAATTGAATCATCAACTTCATCCATCATACGAATTGATCCACATAAAGCATATGTACGATATTTTTCTGTAATACATCCTGTTTGTTCATTAACTACAGTAATATCCAATTGAACAAGTGCATGATCTTTAGTTGCAATTATTTTATTACTTGCCACACATTTTCTTGGAATATATAATTCAATTTGTTCGGTTGATGGTATACCGTCTTTATTTTGCATTTTAATCAATGAGATTTATCTGATATACTTTATAATAAAATAAAAACAAAGAAAACGAAAGCAACTTTTAAAAATAATGAGAAAAAAAATGTTTTATTTAATAGTTGAGAATTATTTTTCTTCTTTCCAAAAATTTGGATTTTCATTAATACGCTGATGAAAATAATTAACCCATGTTTGAACAACTTGTTCTGGTGTACCTGGGACATTTTGAACAAATGATGTTCTATAATTAACAAAATTATAGAACATTTTCGAGACAAATTCAATATTTAATGGAATTGTTGATGGTGTTGTATTATTTGGTTGAACTTTTATTAACATATAAAAAAGATTAAAATAGTGAAATAATAATAAAACTTACTATTATTAGGATGAGCATCATTATCACTATCCTCCTCGCTATTATCATCTTCCTCATTATCATTACCTTCATCAGTAATCACAACACGTTCATCGTCATGATCCACTATAAGTTAATATCAAATCAAAAATTAAAAAAATATTTAATCTACTTGGATCAACTTTATCACTAGTTTCACTGTAATCCAATATTAATTTCACAATAAGATATTGTATATAAGTATTTTTACGTTCTTTTTCCATCTCTACATCATGTATATGAGTAAGGTGTGCGCAACGTAAAAATCGAGCACTATCTTAGTTTTTGGTTGAAAGCTACATATTCCGATACTCCTGATTGAGCTGACTCCAAATATCAGTCTATGATTTGGAAAAAGTAAGTATTCTCAATAACAAAATCGAATTAGAAAAAAAGCGATGCATACTTTTGTTCAGCGTCAAAATGTAGTTTGAATGATGTATAATGATTGGAGAGAAGTCTCAAAATCAGGGAGGAGATAGGTTTGAGAGAGAAATAACTCGTTAGATCGAGTGCTTACTCTTGCCGAAACTGTGTGACAGAGGTTTTCTGTTTTTTTAGGACTTAAAAGTACATGATTAGACTCAGTTTCCGATCATGAATCCAAATATATCAAATTCAGAGGTTTAAAATGAGGAGAAAGAGTCGAAATCGCAAGTTTTCTCATAATGACTCAAAGTTTTCGATTTTTTAATGCTCTTCGTATTTTGAAAGTTTCTCCTATTGAATTCGAATAAAAAGGTGATATTTGAAGTCAGCTCAATCAGGAGTATCGGAATATGTAGCTTTCAACCAAAAACTAAGATAGTGCTCAATTTTTGCATTGTGCGCACCTTACCATTTTTCGACATATCTGGACGATACGACGTGGTTTCTCGTGACACAGCTACTTTGTACATATCTTCAAGGATGTCTAAATAGCCGTGTTGCTAAAATACAAAATGATTTAACATCATTTTTATGAAAATATCTTTTATATTTACCAATGCACGACCTAAGTGGTTCAAAAAGTTTTCTCGGCTCATTTATGATATTAAATGGCTCTTAAAGAAAAAAAAACAATATATATATATATATACAAACGTAGAAGAAGAGAAGAGAGAGTGAAGACAACGAATGTGTATATCTGGAAAGGAAAGATAGGGGAGAACGAATGTATATGCCTGGATAAGAGAGAGATTAAAGTTTAAAAAATAAAACACTTTCTCTCTATCTTCTATATTTTGATGAATATTTTTCTTCAGTTTCGACAACCTAGATAGATAAGATGATGAACGGCGTTGACGAGAATTATTTTGACCTGAAGATTTTATTCGACGACATCGACGATGACGACTTCTTTCATTCTACTAGAATTAGTTTTCTTTCTTTATTAATGTATACAGTAAAGTTTAGTTTCGATCAGCCGATGGCAGTCAAAAATGAAATCAAAAGTAAACATGACAAAATTCATTACTAAGAGAACTCTATTGAACAATGTTAACATGTTTTTGAACAATATTAACCATTGATCATTTAATTATCTATATGATTCATTATCTGTTATCAACTAATTTTACAGATGTAATGAAAGCGATCAACTGTTCGAATAGTTTGGCGTCTATTGTTGTTGCCATTTTCGTTTTAATTATCTCAAATCCTGAAAAAGACAAAGCCCACATAAAAATTTGCCATTTTTCCGAGCTCTTTGTAAATAAACGAAGTTTTCTGTTAAAGATCGGAAAAAGATGTCATTGGTTCGATAATAGAATTTTGTTATCGCGTTCGAACGAGTTCTTTCTGACTTTCCGTTCTCAAGATCATTGCAACGAAAAATACGAATTTTCGATGCATACGTCGAGATAGTAACTAATGGATGTCTCAGATTAAATAGAACTCTCAGTCTTTTGCATATATTTTTCGTCTATAATTCGTCATAGAAAAACAAAATTTTTAAAGAAAAATTCCTTGTCAAATTCTCTATAAAACCGTAATCAAACTTGTTTTCTGTAGAAAATTAAGAAAAGAAATTAAACGAAGATTATCTAACACACAAAAAGTATCTAACCTGAAACTATATAAATAATCGTAACACGAATACAACCAGCTAATTTTTCTAATGGACGCATTATTGTATATTGAAATATAATTGTTATTAATAAATGAATTAAAACTAAATAAAAAAAAAAATTTTTCATTTTCTATTTAATTCAAACAAGAATTTTCTACCCAACATGAATAAAGATAACTGTCCAAAATCGATAGACTTGATTACGTATACGAGCTACAAATTAAATAGAAAAGAAAAATTAATCAACCAAAAAAAAACAAAGGAATTTATTTATTTACCAACAAAAAATTCCAGCGTACCACAAACACTTTGAATACAATCAACCTAAACACATAAAAAAACATTCCCTTCATTATTCCCTCCACTGAAAGGAGGGTCATATGAAAAAAATAGTTTGTACGTTTGTTTGTAGCAGGGTCAAAAGAACATCAGGGTCAAAAAAACATCCGCTTCTGCATAAACCTTGGCCAAAGGGTAATCGAGGGTGGAGAATTCGAATATGAGGTTAGTTCTAATTAATTATTAACTAATTATTAATTAATCATTAATTCCCTCGACGGAAAGGAGGGTCATATGAAAAAAATAGTTTGTATGTTTGTTTGTTTGTGTCAGGGTCAAAGGTCAAACAATGAAAAACGTTAGATGCCCAGCCTATTTACTGCCCCATGATCAATCAGGTATCGAGAGTCATAAAATCGACCAATCGGAATTCGAGGACCCAAAATTGGCTAATCAGATTACGAGGGTCATAAAATTGGCCAATCAGAATTAGAGGATCCAAAATTGATCAATTAGATTTTGAGGGTCATAAAATCGACCAATCAAATTTGGAGGACCCAAAATCGACCAATCATAATTCGACGGTCATAAAATTGATTTAAATCAAAAAATTATTGAATCTTCATTCATTTGACTGATAACTGTGGTCAATCGTAGTTCTTTTTTATTTGTGTACGTTTTATGGTTTCTAGTATCTTTCCTCGCTGTATTCATTAGGTTATGATATACATCTGGTTCGCCTGTTGTGCTCATTCTTTTCATCGATTTTCAATCACTCTCGTCTATTGTGCTTTATATTCTTTGTCTTTCATTCACTCTCATGACGTATGTTTTTTTTTCATGTATGGTCAATTTAACAATGAATTAATCTGTCAATAATAACCTTTTTTAAATAATTGCTGAAATCTATTCATTCACCTCACTTGGTTGAAAATTTAAGTCGTTATATGCATTGGGGAAATTGAAAATCATGTGATTTTGCTGTATCTCTTTATTTTATCTATGAGTGGTTAAATGGAAAGATGAAAGAAGGAAATATTCACCGTTAGAAGTTACTTTCATTATCTTTTTAATCAGAATGGGGACGGATGAGTATGACAATACATACATGGGATTAGAAATACCAAATTGAGTGTACTTGATTCGTTTCAAAGTATGAGTCCTATTGAACCAATGTCTGTTTGCCTACTATCGATTTGTTTTATTAGTATTATCTTATATAGTATTACAGGTGAAGTTATGGTTGAATAAAATTATTTTTGAATGGAATGAGTCGTAGTTACAGTTGATTACTTGGTTGTTTTTTGAACAGCTTATTGCAACAGAAGATCAAGTCACTAAACTTGATATTAATTTTGATTGCAATAAGCCATACAACCTTAATCTAATTTAAAATTGATAGAAATGAATTATATGATGTCCGTTCATTTATTTTCTTTTGTCATATACGTCAAGATGGAAAAGAAAACTGAAGAAAGTAAGACGTCATCGTTGATGTTCCCATTTCTTTATTGGATGATCAATGAGTGATATGTGAAAGTGACCATAGACTAAACATAGAGTATTCAAATGTTAGTGGATCATTTCAATGTTTCATTATGTTGTGTTGGATTGATATCAATCAGTAGGAACAAAAATGTATTTATTAAATGTTGAGAGTCAGGAAAAGGTATGTAATGGAACAATGACACTTATTCTATTTTTTATTTTACTCAAAAAGTGAGTACACTACTAAAATCGGTCAGTATGTCCGGCCGGCCGTTTACACGGTAACTTTCGAAAGAAGAGTCCGATCGCGATGAAATTTTCTATACAGCTCAGTCTTTACAATATCTCGGTCGAGAGAAGAAGATGACAAAATACATAAATCGACTCAGTTTTTAACGCTAATTCTGAATCTGATATTAGTTTTGAACCGAATCATAGTTTTGTGTACTCAAATAGTGAGTACCCTATAGAATAGTCACTGTTTCCGTCCGTCCGATTGGCTGTTTACATGATAACTTTTGACAACAGAGTCAGATTGCGATGAAACTTTCTACACAGCTTAGTCTTGACAATATCTCGGCCGAGAGAAGAAGATGAGAAGGATTGGTCGAGCCCTTCCTAACTTATTGCAAAAATACCCCTTTTTCCCAATAGCATTTCTGTAGAAAAATGGACCCATCGTGACTTTCGTAAAAGACTTTTCGTATCATAGTCAATTAAAACCCCAACTATTATATACCATTCGATAGAGAATTTCAAGAACTACAAAATGATATATAAAACAAAAAGAAACAAGAAGGTTGACTTACCTATGACAAGGATAATTAAAGAGAACTAGGTTATATTTTGGTCGACGATCTAATTGATTCACAAATAGAGCTCTATCTCCCGATCACAGTGATGATGTTTCGAGGTTTTCAGATATGGAGAACTCGAATGTGTACTGCATTTCCAACGTAATACTATTGGTTGTGCAGTGGTCAATAGAAATGAAGTTATAGGAAAAACGACTTTGTTAGGGTAAATCAAGGTGCAGAGTTGAAACTTGAGCTGTATTCCATCCCATGTCCTATTGGTTTGGCAACGCGCAATAGAAATCAAGATTATAAATGGTAGACTTCACAGTATAATTTTGATATTGAGACAGTCTAGGATGATTGATTTGTGTGATTCACTTTTTGAAGTACACATAACTCTCGGATTTAAATCCGAAGTTTCCGCATTTTTAATACTACAAAGAAAGGGTGTGGGTGTGGATGGGTGTGGGTGTGGGTGTGAGTGTGGGTGTGGGTGTGGATGGGTGTGGGTGTGTGGGTGGGTGTGAGTGTGGGTGTAGATGTGGATATGGTTGTGGATGTAGGAATTACGTACACTGACACCCATACTCATACCTACATCCACGCCCACACCCACACCCACACCCCACACCCACATCCTTAAACGATAAATAAATTCACCGAGTTCCTTTTTATTAAGATGATTTTTATAAGTACTGTTCAAAGGTATTACATTCCAAGGAAATACAAAATTTAGCCTTTTCCCTATTTCACGAAAAACATTGTGTAACGTTTTTCTTTCGATTGATTCAATTTTTTGAGTTATTCGAGTTTTTAAATCGTTCAGATCTTTAATTCTTGGTTTGTAAATATTTGTTTTCATATCTCTCCATAGAAAAAAAGTCCAATGGCGAAAAATCAGGTGACCGTGGAGCCCATGAAATGGGTTCACCTCTCCCAACCCATCGATCATTAAATTTGACGGTCAATCACGAACGAACGGTTTTTGAGTAACAAGATTATTACTCCATCTGTGTAATAGACAATGTCCTCTACCGGATTTATTTGGGTAGAGGATAACTGACTGTTGTTCGAATCATGAAAGACTGACCGAACATGTGATTCATTTCAAAAACATAAAAATGCCGATTGATCTGCGCTTGCAAATTGAAATTGTTCTCATGATGGCTAAAGTAGAATCACTATCATCAGTTCAACGATATTTCCAACGAGAAAATGTGTCTAATATTCCTTCAGAAAAGTCTATCAAAGCTGTGTAATAACTCAATGATCAGTGTTCGTCGCATCTCCCAAGAAGTCAACCAGTCCAAGACGTTAGTACATCGTGCAATGCATGACGTATTAGGCTATAAACCGTACATAATGCATTTAACACAACATCTGTATAACGAAGACAAAGACTTCCGTATTGTGATGGCTGAAACTCTATTACCAATTCTTGATGAAGAAAATAATGACGGTTTGATATTTTTTTCGGATGAGGCAACATTTCATGTTTCAGGCATGATTCATAAACATAATTGTCACATTTGATCTCAAGGTAATCCTTTTGCTACCATGGAAGTTGCAATGAATTCACCAAAAGTTTCTGTATGGTGTGCGATATCAAGCAAGATGATCATTGCATCATTAGTTTTTGATGAATCAACAGTTGATCAACACAATTATCTTGATATGCTCCAAAAGTTTTTCTATCCAGTTTTACAGAAGAAAAAGCTTACTGGAAAAATAATTTTCCAACAGGTTGGAGCACCTGCTCATTTCGCAAATACCGTTCGTTCGTGGTTGAACGACAAATTCAATGATCGATAGATTGGGAGAGGTACACCCATTTCATGGGCTCCACGGTCGCCTGATTTTTCGTCATTGAACTTTTTTTCTATGGAGAGATATGAAAACAAATATTTACAAAACAAGAATTGAAGATCTGAACGATTTAAAAACTCGAATAACTCAAGAAATTGAATCAATCAAAAAAAAATTTTACAAAATGTTTTTCTTGTAATAGGGAAAAGGCTAAATTTTTGTATTTCGCTGGAAGATAATACCTTTGAACAGTACTAATAAAAATCATCTTAATAAAAGGAACTTGGTGAATTTATTTATCGTTTAAAAAGAAAAAGCTGTTATTGTAAAGTAAAATAGTGAAAATATGCTTAAAAACTTTTAGGAAGGAACTTTCGGGACACACTGTATTGTGTCATTATTCAATACAGATGTTTGGCACCAATTGAACATTTACATTACATGCGATTGGATTTGATGCTCACATGAAGATTGAGATATTGTAAAGGTATATACTTTGCCGTATTGTGAATTTTTTTTACTACAGCAACATCTGTTGTCAATTTCATACCTCCATGCAAAGACACATCATATGATAAGATTCAAACGTTAAAAGTTCTTATGAATACGAAGCAGTCACATACAATAAATACTTTTTACAAAAATCTCGATACGATTAAACTAGGGTCTCTATTACACCATAATACTGATATATTACTTTTTATAAAGATGTCTTTCAACTATAACAATATTCATCATATTGGATTTCCGTCCGTACGAGAAGTATTGAAACCTGATGTTTTTTGTCAACTATTGAAAGAATGTTCAAATTTATACTCATTAAAACTGTTCCCACATACACTAAATGACATGACTAGTAACTTCTCTAATGAAACAATATACTCACATTTAAGCAAAAAAATTCAACATATACAATTTATAAAGGGACTGCAAGAAGAAGATATTGATAAAGAAGCAACAGCAAAGTTCGCTCAAATATTTATGAGCCTACAACGATTAGTCATTCACATGAAATATACAGATAATAATTATATTGAAAAAACTATCAATAATGATACCCACTATGCAGCAATTGAGCAAACTAATGATTAAAGCAAACCAATCTATTCCAAACGAATTTATCAATAGAATCAGACAATCTATTCCCGCTCTGAAAGAATGTTATAGTCGCAAAGAGAAATCACTTCTATTTATCTGGTGTTGAATAAGTAAATCAATGAGCAAACAACTAACTTACTTACGTCAGAAAGCATTGTGCTTCTTTGAACTAATCATATTGTTCCTCACAAAATATTGTTTACATAGGTTTTCAAGCTATCTCTGCATTTCCCTCACATACTACATTTTCGAGAAATAAAAACATCAAAATTATTGTGATTCATATGTTCATTATACAATGATGACGAAATTCATTCACAAAGGGCTGTGCATCATGATGTGGGTGTGTCTGCTTCATCCTCTAAATAAACGATCATACTTCATACTCACACCCCCTTTTGCAATCAATCACTTTTCTTGTTTATCAAGAAAATTTCTTTGAATGAACTGGTTGTAATTTCCTTTTTTTTCTTACTTTACATAGTTTCTGAGTTTCTATATATTGTGAGACTCCTTTTATGTCGTGTTTCACAAAATAGAACTAAAAAAAATCATAAATGTAGAGCTATCAGAAGATTCAAGGAAATCGTTTAGAACCCTAGGATCTTTTGTTTTCTCTTATTATAAATCATAATAAAAACATCGTCGATAGGTGAAACAAAATGATCGTGTGCACATACTGAAGACCTCCGTTCGAAAAACATACTTCAATTACTTTTATTCCAAAAGACAATAGGTTTTACTCATATAGCAAGTGACTTTTATTGTAATATGATTTATTTAAAAGTAAGCACAGAATTGAGAAAAAATATGCGACAACATTGCTGATTTATATTATAACAATAAGCTTAGCTTAATATAGTAATGTCATTGTTCTCAATTTTAAGTTGGTAAGATTTGAAAATTTTGATCGAATGAGTAAAAGTATAGTTTTTTTTCTAATTGATGCTATTTTGTGATGCAACTGTTGTGTGATGAATACGTCGAGCTGATTTTATTGTTTGATATAATTTCATACCGTTCCAAACAATAAATCGTAAGCTGGTAGTAAGTCCACCATAGAGAGAAAGCAGCGATGTAATTACATACAAAACACCTCTACGTTGACTATATTTGTAATTACATATGGTCGGTGAACATGCATCATAATAGTTCTCGTAGCTCGTGATATTTTCCCACTTTTCGATGAACAGCTCATCGATTATTGTACCAATCAGTGTGACTGGGGAAAAATGGGATGGTATTGATTCGTTTAGGGGATTCAAGATCAACGGAAGTACTTCAGGAAAGGTAAAATTGAGTGCTTTTGATTTGTCTGGCAATGTATAATATTCCAAATAATTGAGAATCGTGTTGATGCAGTTTGATGAGAAGAAACATTCGAGTGTTGACATACGTAATCCATCTATTGGCAAACAACCGACAACAAGACCGGGCAAGACAAGTTCAGGAGGACCAATTCTCAATGGTGCTTGACATTCGCTAGAAACAGCACAGTTGCATGTACCGTTAGCATACATAACTGGAACATTTCTCAAGACATAGTCATTGGATGCATTCCTGTACTCTATCGACCAATCAGTATTGAAAGCCGTCGGAATTAAATTGACTTCAACTAATGCTGTGCTAGCAAGGAGTAATCGTCGAAAATCGAGTGGTGTTCGCTTGATCAGTTCGTTGAGGATTACATTCATGCGTAATACAAAGAGACTTCGAGATAGTACTAGTGTATTCACCAATGTTGCTGCGTTAAAGTTTGATACGGCAAGGTTCACAACACTTTGTGATATATTACAAAGACTGCTCATTATCTGATGCTGTTTACTGAGAAGAGGTCGATCAAGTTGTAGATAACTGTTGACTTTGTTTCCATAACCGTATACGGATGTAGTCCATATTGAAGAGACAGATGCACTCGAGCATACCTATATCAAAAGAAGCATTTGTCATTAAAAGAGGATTCATACCAATGAATCCATCGAAATTTCAAACCAAGGTGTTCGCTCATTTTGTGCACTTTCACTATTGGAATTCGAAACCAAACGTTGGAATTTTTGTTAACATGTCTGATTACAGGGCAAAATCTGCTGTAAACGTGTACTATTCGAGTTCTTTTTGTTTTTTGGAATGCCACTTAAATTTTTGTGTTACTTATGACTTTCAAATATTTAAAAGAGATGTTTTGTTCAAAGAAATCTTTACATAGAAAGTATCTGCTGACAATATGCCTATGATCGAGGGTGAGTGTGGGTGTGGGTGTGGGTCTGTTTGAAGACAAGATGAACACCCACATACCCACATCCACACCCTTCTTCTCGTTATGTTGAAACTTTTTTTTTCATTTCTACTTCTTTGATAGAATTCAACAAAGAGAAGTAAACAAATAAAGGCGGTAGCAACGCAAACATATATTTTTCATACGATGCATAGTTTTTTATTATTTTGCATTGTGATTGTCACATGGGATTGACGAAATAGTTTTTTTTCTACTTATGGCGCGTCAACGAGAAGAGAAATCGAACACAAACGCTGCAGAGAAGAAACGGAATGTGTCCTTGCTGTCTCTAAGCATTTGATAAGTCATTGTTTCCATGACTGTTGTTTGTAAAGAAGCCTTAGTGTTGCATTTGACAACCGTCAACTACATAAGGATGTGAGCAGTGCTTCATAAGAATCAGTAGCGAACGAAAAAAAAATTCAATTGTATTCAGTGTATTTTGTGTATAAGATAGACAAAAGCAAGCCAAAATAAATGTGAGTAAAATTTTCAGATCTCTCCTCTATAGATTGTGTTTCAATAATAAACATGACGAGTTTCACTAATCGTAGGCTGACACTGCTCTCTGTTAATAAAAGAAACAAAACATGGGCG